TCCTCTTTTTTCTTAGCGACGGCATCGTGCAGAAGCAAATATTTTTGCTCTTGCCTTTTGACGAGTTTTTGTACGATTTTCACTTAAGAGTTTCTGTTTTATAGAATTTATCAACCAAGTGAGTTGTGTAGAATCTGTAGAGTTTGGTTTGAGTTAAGTAGTTCTCATTTGGAGTCATTTTGGAGTCATTTTGCTGTCGTTTTTCTTGCACGTAGCGTAGCAGGTTTTTCAGCCTTTGTCTGACACCACGTGCGGCGGGCCAGGTCGGCACCGCGGGACTAGCCCAGTGCCGGGTAGGCATCGTGGGTTCTCCCTTTGGGATCAAGTGCAATCCCCTTTTAGCCGAGTCGGCTTTCCTGAGTTATTATCATTATTTCTGTTGTACAGTTATCTAATAATAATATTTCTTTGTCAAAAAAAAATAAAAAAATAGCAGTGCATTTAGTTTATGACTCCATAGAAATCAGTAAAGACCTTTAGGGGAGACAGTGCGTCGTATATCCCCGGAGAGAGAGTGCGGTTATTCTCCACAAGGTCTGCTAGTCGCCCCACACGTGGGGCCCCTGTTCCGGAAGTCAGACTTTCGGCCGTTCAGGGGACTAGCGAAACGTTTCGAAGAATACAGCGGTTTCGGCCGTTCCCTGTTCTCCGTTCGTTTCCCCTAAGCTCGCGGTGAGCTAGGGCCTAGCGAGACGAGTACAGTGGGGGTATATCGACAGAGGTCATTCCCTTCCCCCCTGACCGTTTCAGCTAGCTCGCGGAGCTAGTAAGCTAGGAGAGGACGTTTCGTTGGGTATATCGACAGAGGTCGTTCCCTGCCCCTCGGCCGTCCTAAGCTATCTCGATAGTGCGACGACAAACGAGATAGCGGCGAGATATTCGTGGGTATATCGGCCGCTGGCCATTCCCTTCCCTCGGCCGCTTCGCCTGGCGTGTAAAGAAAAATTCCGTGGGGTACAGCGACCAGCGGTCGTTCCCTTCCCCTCGGCCGTTCTCAACTGCATTTATCTCAGTAGTACAATAGTACGAAAAGACGAGATAGCAGTGAGTCCCCACGCAGGGACATCGCCGTAGTCTGTAACGGTCATCCCGTGTTTACGCGTTTTGACCGGCATCAAACATACGTCCTACGGTATGGAACACCGTGAGGATACCGGGGATAAAACTCCCCGTGTAACCACGGCCCCCCAGGCGACCAGCCGTAAGGGTCCCGCGGTTAACAAGGCCGCATCAAAGGCCACCAGCGGTCCCAAGGGCAAGACCCAAAAAGGGACCACTAGTTGCTCGATCACGCCACTGGTCTCCGGACCATCAGCGTCACCTAGCAACCCGGCGTCGATTTCCCATGGTTTCATGGGAATTTCTTCGCCTCGTCCCCCTGGTCTGCTGGCTCCAGCAACCCTCGGGGACGACCAGTCACGGAGCAGTAAAAGGATTCAATCCTCACCGGCCCCGTCTGCGCGTTCATCGCACTCCGAGCTTCCTGCTCCCACCCGTGCGGAATAGGCAGGACTCGCGGTGACTGACTTGCCTCCTCCCCAAATTCGGGCCACGGACTCGTAGTCAACGTCGTTCTTTGATCAATGCTCCGGAATTCCAAGGATATTATCGGAGTTTTCATTCAGTGAATCAAGTCACCCAAGTAAGAAAAAGAAACACAAGGCAGCGCCGTCTTCTTCAGGGGATTCCCCCCGTAAGTCGACGCATCGGAAAAAGAAAAACAAAGGTGTATCCATGGAAATCTTTCTAAAAGCTTTCCAGGACATCAACGTTTCGCTAGCAGCCCTCACTAAACAACAACAATGGAGATCGGCCCCAGCGGTGACTGAGAAGTCACTCCCGGCGGCCACATTTCCGGACCCAAATCCGGGTCTAATCCTGCCGGATCCGAGTGTGATCCAGCCGGATCCGGCTCCAATCCGGCCGAATTCGGGCGCGATCCGGCCGGATCCAGGCTTAATTCAGCCGGATCCGGGCGCAATCCTGCCAATTTCGGGCGGGATGAGAGGGGATCACACTGGACCCCAGATCCTGGGGCTGCCATCAGTGCTGCTCAGATAATCCACCTACTACGGGCCGTGTTTGGGCGCCCCCGAGATCACAGGTGGGCATTTCTTTACACCCATCTATGAATTTGGGTACTTCTGTTCAAGATGTTCCTGACATAGATGTCGACAGTACTCACCCCCCTTCCACTCACTCGCAAGATGGGTGTTCTGGGGATGAAGAGGCCACTGACCCTGGCAATTTTTCGCCATTTGAGACTCAGCTGAGGCTGGTTCAAAGAGATATGGTTCGAGTACTGCAACTACCAGAGAGCAGTAAGCCAGAGACCACCCGTCGTTCTTTCAAACGCCGGACTGGTGTGGAGGAACCTCGCGATCCACTTTTCCCAGCTATGCCGGTGGATCGTTTATGCGCCGATCGCATACAACAGATCGCCGATTCAAAGAAATGGACTGCTTTCAACAAAAGGTCGGCAGCCTATTTCCAGTTTCCAGAAAAGGACCAAGATGATTTCTTTACGGTTCCTGCTGTTCCAGATACAGCCAAGGACAAATTGACTGGAGATAGCGGCAAAGCCCCGACCAAATCAATATTTGTCGATCAGACTAGAGCAAAGATGGAGGATACAATGGAGAAAGTCGATGAGGCGGCTAGATTTGGCTCACAAACAAGCGCCTTTTTACTTTTGTTATCTGAATATATCGTCTGCGCATGTGAGGAAGATTCACAAATTCCAGCCGATATGTTAGCAGCAGCCTTCCGCTGTCTGGACGAAATACTCCGCTTTTCTCTAGATCAGTTTACGAGAATCTCTATCTTGTCCGCCAAATCACGTAGGACTAACGTGATGGAGGCACTTTACATACCGCACGAAGGCGCTAAGAGGAAGTTAGAAGACCTTCCTCTTTATATTGACAAAGACCTTTTCGGAGGCAAATTCCAGGAGATTCTGGAAGTTGAAGCCAAAAGAATTGAAACAGCGGACAAACTGAGCTTGAAGAAGCCTTCAGCTACTGACAAGCCCAAGTTATCTGGGAAGAAGGCAACGAGAGGTGCTCCCTCGTTTCGCCCATCCCCTAAGAAACCATTCAAGCCCTTTCGCCAACAGACGGCCGAGGCATCAGCTGGTGCAATGGTTTCAGCTCCATGCCCCTACTCTGCCCCTGCACGCCAGTATGTACAAACTAGCGGCGGGGGACGTGGCGGTGGGCAATCGGCCCCCCGCTCTGGGTGGCGTCGGTGACGCCCCTACCGAGCCGACCCCCACACTCAGGCCCGTTGGGTGTCGTCTCAGAAATTCTGGAGAGAGATCACCTGCGACGCAAGGGTGCTTTCTATAGTCAGCCACGGCTATCAACTAGTATGCAAAGTCCGAAGTGACGTCACGATGACGTCATCGTTTGATTTTTTATGATTTTTTAAATATTTATAATTTTATTCTGCTTTATTTGACTTTAAACTTGGTTCAAACCAATACCACAATGACAAAATGTGCATTGAGAAGGGTTTCCAAGATGACGTCATTGCAGGGCATGTGGCGTCATGTGATAAAATTATATTTTAAGAATGATTCTAAGCATTTTTAACAACCTTTCACTGCTTGAAGCACTCTGAAAAGTGACTGCAAAAGGACCAACAAAACATAAAATTTTTAAAAATACGTTCTGTGTTCTGTTTGCAAACAGACATACAGCTCTAGTTATTATTATTATTATTTATGTATTTTCGGTCCTTGGATTCCTCATACTAAAAAAAAGCGCAAGTACAACAAGCATTCAAATGGCCGAGAAAATAATTCTTTATTTCTACTTAGTTTCAACCTCTGTTCTTAGTGTTCTTACAATAGCAGGGTGTTTGTTCCGCATATGCTTGATGAAGTTCAGCATATGCTTGATGAAGTTCCGCATATGCTTGATGAAGTTTCGCTTAATATGCTTGATGAAGTTCAGAGTTGTCCCATATGTTTCTGATATGCGAACGGCACAAAACATGCACGCTGCACTGTGGCGTTTCACACCATTTTGGACAAATTCCCTGTGATCCCAAACTTCACAACATAGGACACAGACAACATGACACATGTATTTTGGGGTTCTTTGCACAGACAACGTATACAATTTGGGCACAAAAAAGTGACTGAAGTGCCACACAGACAAGCGTAAGCGTACACATACAAAAGTACATGCAACGTGCATGCAAAAACACGGCAGATACGCGTTTTTTGCAGGTGTCTCAGTACGCATTTAGTCTGCTTCCCATTCATAGGCCTCTGTTTAAGGCTAGGCCGTTGTGGACCTGCTGCCGTAACCAGACTAGGGGCCGTTTTTCAAACCTCGGCTTGGCTGTGTCTCTTTTTCCATTCATGCACATTGGCAATGGGCTTTACCCGTATTATAGGACCAAAACCGGGGTTCAGAAAATGGCTTTGCTCCAATCACCCAAGTTAATCGTACGCCCATTTTGAGGAACACCTCGGCGTACAGTGTGTACAATGATCGGCCATTGCACCCATATACGGCAAATGGGTCATTGTGGGCAATTGGCCCAGGCCCAGTCAGACCTATATACAGACCCAGTCACGGCTAGCAGTTAATTGTGTTTGTACAGACGTGCTTAGAGTAGAGAACATTTCGATTTCTCGGCAATCGATCATTTGAAACTCAAAGTATCGATAAAGGCCGTGGTAACGTAAGTGCTTTACCATTTTTTTCTTATCGAGTACCGCTTTTCGAGTACCAGTACTTTGTACTGTTATTCGAGTACAAGTACTTTGATGATCGAGTACAAGTGCGAGTATGAGTACTTTGCTACTCGAGTATGAGTTCCATCATATCGAGTACGAGTACTTTGACATTTGAGTACGAGTATGAGTACGAGTACTCCTAAAAAAGTACTCGAGTACGAGTACCGAGTACGAGTACTACAACACTGATTTATTCATGAGATTTATTATAAATGTATATTTAACTGATTTTTATTTTTTGTTTAATTAGGAGGTGGATTCGAATACGGGAAGGTGAATTGTCCTACTACAAACCAGATGATGATAATCAACAAGCTCTTAATATTCTACAATTGTCAGAAGATGTAACCATAGTAAAGAAACTCAACTTCAATGGCTTCAGTATAACGACAAGGAAAAAAGTTTATTTGTGAGTATTGTTTTTCATCCATCATAAGTTGAACTTTCATGATTACAACTGTTCTTGGCTTTTGTATTATCAAATAATACATAAAAGCCATCTATTTAATTTATCCTCATTTATGTTTGTTTGTTTCTTGGGTGGGTTGTTTGTTTATTTGTGTGTGGGTTTTTTTTTTGGGGGGGGGGTTGACACGGAAGGAAAAAAAGCTGTCTAATCCAGTTGGACACATGAGGGTGACTCTTTTCAATTAATAAGCCCATTTATTTAAACATTCCGCCCTCCTCCTCCCCCCCACCCTAAAAAAAACCCCAAAAACGATAACTTTATCACAGAATGTGTCTTGCCACTGATTATTGAAAATTGTTTGTTGAAAAAGAGTTGCTCTCTAGATAATTTTTGTCATTATTAGGCTTATAGACCAACATGCATGGCTGATTATTTGCAGTTTGTTGACGAATGTCACAGATCCAAATAAATTGTGCGTTAAACTACTCAGGAAGATGTTGGGAAACTCACATATAAAATCCACAGTTAATCGGTGACCCAAATTGGTGCTAAAAGTTCAGGTTTTCTCCGTTTCAGCGCTAAAAATGCCGAGTGAAGAATTACCTCATTATTTTTCAATGACCAATCAGTGAGGCCCTTCTGTCATGGTGCGGTGAATGGACCAATAGCGGGTGCCATGCGCACCGTTTCAGCGTACTTCAGCAACTCTGCAGCTGATGAGGGTGCTTCGCTAAATAAATGGCCATAAACGTATGTTACGACAATGCCCATTTATCGATGGTATCTATTTTTCTATTTCTATTTGCACCGCTAGCGACGTTAAGGGCGGAAGAGAATTTATCAGAAATTTAATCTGGCTAATCACATCCGGACGCATTTCGATGTTCGCTCCGCTCTTTGTATGCCAGCCCTATAGGCCGTGCTGTATCACGGCCCAACCGAGCCGAACTGCAGTTTCAAGATTTTTGATTTTGTGGAGAGGCTCAGTCATGCTGGTGTTACTGTCAGTGTGGACACAGAAGTATTTTCAGGTTTTCCCTTTTAGTCAAATGGAAAATAAGGTAGGAGAAACCCAGTTTCTTTGGCAGTCATTAAAAAGATCCATGTAAGTCGTTAGTAAATTGAATAAGGGGATGAAGTCACCCGAATCAATCGTTATTTTACACATATATTCAGCCATAGAGCAAGGAACTTGGATTTGGTACCTTCAGATATAGTGATATTTTGACAACGATTTTGAGAAACCTGAATAAAATTGTCCCAGGAATGACAGTTGACAAAATGCAGCAGATAGACTGCCATGCGTTTTGTACATGGGGCGCATTGCATGCAAGGCTAATGCATTGATTGTCCCAGATAATAGCTAACGGCGCGGAGTGGCGTTCCGCAATGATGCATGACGATGGAATGTTGTGGTCCTTCCTACATGATGTGATGTCCCAAGGGATGGTCCGAAGTGCCTTGATGGCGATCTACGAATGAGAAATGTAGGTTTAAATGTGGGTCTAAATTAAGTTACACTAATCTTTAAGGGCATATCTGCCGTATGGGTGTTTGTTCAGATGACAGGCCTATGATATAGGTGGGGTTTTATTAGTTAGGGAACAAATAAGGTTATCACTTATTTTAGTGATTTAAAGCCTTTGTAAATGTATACCCATTTTAAAGGAACAAATAATAGGCATACTCGCATAATTAATTAGGGAAATAACACAGATTTACTGTTAATAATCACGCAGTGCGGGCCGGACTTTGTTTGGTCAGTACAGTTCTGGATAAACCATTATTTCATCTGAATTGCAGAGGACCTGCTTGTTACATGTATCATAGAACAGTAATTATTGTGGTGTCCATTTTCTTTTCCTCTTACATTTTGAACTTTAAACCATTACTCATAACGGACCTAAGATTAATCATTTATCCAGGTGATGATTCCTGGTCACAATGATGTTTATCTCACACATGCAATTTTCTCTTTAATCACCTTGAGTTTACAGGCACACTGAATAGACCAAGCTTGTGGGCGAATGTTACATGAATTCCTGTGGGAAATGTTACGCCGCCTGTGGGCGAATGGTATACGCCAACGCCTGTTGCGCCAAAACATGGACCCGAGAGTCGAGGAGTCACAGGAGTTTAAGATAGAAGGGCAGACTTCTTCGTATAGCAGAGTTGGGCAATTATTTATTGACAGCGGTAAAATGTAGGTTTGGTTTGACACACCTCGGATTGGGCACATGGCTCGATAGGCCCACAAGGGCTGAGATTTATCAACAAAATGTACATGGACACCATGCACAGGTTCAGGAAATGCATCTTTGGAACATAGGTATCTAATGACAATTTCCCTTATATCAGCATAATTAAGCATTTTCAAGATTACAATTGTATAACAATCCAATGAAGCGCAATCATGCCTTTATTTTCCGGCAGCCCATTGTATCATCATCACCACGCCTTAGACATGAACACAGATATGGAATATGGTTCGGCATGACATGCCAATCCTAGCTTATGGGTCCTTGTTTGCTGGAACTGCAAGTCAGTTTTAATGAACGACCATTTTATTTTTAAGTTGAGTGAACAACAGTAGAAAAAGTGATTTCATGGCTCTGTAATATATGTGTTTTTATCCATAAATTATAAGAGCAAAGTGACACCTGTCACAGTCTGGCAGCTGGTTATTGGTTTGATATCAGTTTTAGTAAGTATTCGCTCAAATCATTGCTCTCACAATAAGGTATGGAAAGTCCTTTTAGTATTTCAACAACAGTCTTGAATACTCATCTAGCCTTGATAAACCAGCCACCCATAGATAAAGAGTATTATGATTCGTAGTCCCAAAAGAGCGAGATGATCATTAAAAATGTAATTAGTGAGTGTCATACCTTTAATTCTAAAAGTTGTTGTATAGCTCTTAGTGACAATGAGTTTGGTATACCGGGAATGTTATCGCAACAATAGACGCTTGAAGAGCAGTTTGTGAGTAAAAGAAATTCAGGGCAGGTATTTATCTAGATAATCATCATTGATGCAAATCATCTGTGTTCCATATTCTGTAAATGGAGATCCAACCGATCTCAGCAGCTCATGGAGTCAATGGGCGGGAGCATTTTCCTTACAAAGACTCTGGGGTTTGATATGCGAGAAAAGGGAATTCAGCACCCCAACTGTCCCCAACAATTGGCAAAAGCAAAATTGATAAAACAAATAGCATTTGAAAGCTGAATATCGCAGGTTTAACATAATATAAGCATCATGAAACATTTTTCAATATTCCAAGGACACAGAGCCCGTTTCTGCTTGCAGCATTTTTTTTTTGGGGGGGGGACAGGCTGTAGAGGTGGATGGGCCCCTCTGATGTGAAAAAGGCTATGATATAGAGGTGGATGGGCCCCTCTGATGTGAAAAAGGCTATGATATAGAGGTGGATCGGCCCCTCTGATGTGAAAAAGGCTATGATATAGAGGTGGATCGGCCCCTCTGATGTGAAAAAGGCTATGATATAGAGGTGGATGGGCCCCTCTGATGTGAAGGCGGCCTGAAAAGATCGGTGGATAGGCCCCGACAGAGAGAAACACTAGAGCTAATGAGCTTCCCGAAGCACAGATATCAGCCTAAATTGCCGTTTTATCGGTTTGTCTGAATACTAACTTGCACTGAACACAAGGTGATCATCGCTAAATGTGGCCGAGATCGGCAAAAGGATGTAAGAGGAACAACTATGAACATTTGACATTAAGACTGCCGAAACATTACATAAAATAGCCGTCAAGACAATACATGAAACAGTAGTTAATGCCAGTATATTAATCCTTAAAAACACTCAAAAATTAATCACAGCATTAGTGTTACTTATTGACCTCCGTACTTTTTAATCCATGGCATGAGTATCTGGCTGAACACATGTCTTTACACAGGTGGCACAGCTGCATGCTATGACAGACCGAAGGAATGCAGTATCCAGACACCACTTCTGCGGTTATGGGCAAAGTCTGTGGAGAGTGTGGCACTGTATGTCACCAGTGGCGTCACCAGACTTTTCAGTCTGGGGGGCACAGGGGGGGCACCAGCATTTGATGGGGGGGGGGAGCACTTAGGTGGATACGGATCGCCGTCCTGGGGGAGGAGTCTAAGGGGAGGGGGTGCCCCCCTCCCCTTTGGAAAATTTTCGCATACGGAGGATGGGCTAGATGCAAAATGGTGCCACATTTGATGCTAAATTCGATCTGAAGATATCTCCAGAAATTGCTAGTTTTGAGGTAATGATTTTAACAACGCGCAGAACTTTTTTTACCAACCCAAATCTCAGATGGGGGGGGGGGGGGGGGCACTCGGGGGGGCACTAGGTTTTCCAGGGGGGGCACGTGCCCCCCCTGGCCCCCCCTTGGAGATGCCACTGTATGTCACACAACATCCACAGTATCGTGGTGGTTTGAAACCTTCCCAGAATTCCTATGTTTTTATATTGCTTTTTACATGCGTTTGAAAAATGAAAAACTTGAAATAACTCGACAACCAAATAAGTCATGAATATGAAATTTGAGAATTAGAGATAAAAAAATACACTGAACAGGGCTGCAAAGATTTAAAATGTAAAACAGTTTTTGAATTTTGTTTCATAAAATGACCCCTACTGACCAATAGGTGACCACTGGCCAAATTCTGTGAACAATTTTTGTGAGGCTCGGTCTAAATATACAACTGACCAAGTTTTACATCAATTGGGTCAAGACTGGGGGAGAAAAAGCATTTTGTAAATATTCATTAAATGACCTCTAGTGCCCCTTTAATGACCAGTGGCCGGATTTTACGAACATGGCTAGGTAGGGCATGTGACAAGGTTTAATTTGGCCAAGTTTGTTTGAAATCGGCTGAATAGTTAAGAAGTTATGGCCATTTTTATATTGGTCACGTGACCGTTTGCCCGAAGAAAGAAAGAAAGAAAGAAATGGGACGATCACAGTATATCAGCGTGCTCCGCACGGCTGATATAAAAA